TTTGTAATACATAAGAATTCCGTGACCAGTTACATTTTAAGTAGATTTAAGCATAAAAATGAGATTCAATCAACTTAAATACAACTCAACTGATTAAGACATTTATTTTTAACAAAAAAACCGCATATTTGAATTCTCACCCTACATATTGTACTAAAAAAAAAATCCAAATTTAATATTTTTTGCGAGTTAGTTATGTTAGTTTGTCCACCGCACATTTCTTTTCTTGGCTACCAAAACATACGAATCCTTCAAAATTAGCTTTTATTTGCTCAAAGTGTCCCATCTAGCATGTAAAATTAGCCACATAATTTTTAAGTACGACTAGCATGCTAGGTAAGCATGTTAGTCTGAACATAATTCGGATAGATATATAAGATATCTATTACTATCTCAAAAGTCAATGGTTCGATATTTCATCTCGTAATTATTGAACTAAAAAAATACTTGATAAGTATTAAATGGGTAGAGTAAGATATATTTGATCAAGAAAAGTGAAAGTTCAAAAAATTATTAAAAGCTCCTTAAAAACCTTATTTTAAAAAATTAAGTAAAAAACTAGATAGATAAAGTATAATGAAAATAAAAATACGGAAGTCCCACTCTGGGTCGGGGTATCTTTATTCCAACCATTGTGAGAGCTCCATCAACTCCAATAATATTAAAAGTGTAAGATTTCTCTTAAAAGAAATTTAAAGTATAGAGATTAAACAAACACAATTTAAACCTTTAAAGATTAAATTTTCAATTTATTTTCGATCGATGGAGGAAAAGAAAAAGGGGGTGTTTTTTAAAATATGGGTAATGAAAAAAGGAAATAGAAAAAGAAAAAGGAGAAAAAAGAACATAATAGTTTTGAGCATGCGATGGTAACTGTAAAGAGAGGTTTTTACACGAAAGTTATGTCAGCTTGATACAACACTACACTACACGTGCATTTAATTTTAATCATTGTGCCTTCTTTTTTTTTTCTTACACCATTTCCTTCCACTAATACACTCTTTTTTCTTTTAGGTACCATTCCAAAACTTTACAAATCCATCAAATCAAATCGCTAAAAATTTATGAAATCAAATTGATTTGATTTGATGGGTTTAAAGAATGAATTTCAGCTCGTTATTTTCGTTGAACAACACATTAACATCTATAGAGTTTAAACAATGAATTATTAGAAATGCAAATAATTTCTCGAATAGATTAGAAAAGAGAAAGATTCATTGTATATAAGATTTATCCTCGCTCAAAAACATCTCTCTACGTTTTTCCTTTCTCCGTATATAAATCAATCCAAATTCCAAGATTCTTTAAATTAATAATTGACGTTTCATTTATAACAAGCTTTAATCAATTTGATATTTCCACATTATAATAATCAATTTGGTCACATACATTGAACATGGCTCTAGTATAACTAGGAATTTATACACCCATGATAATATTTACAAGTACATAAATAGTTGCATCCAAGTCATTTTATATATAAATATATTCTATCTAATTTATACTACTTTTTCCTTTTCCCATTTTGATCCATGTTTTTGGATCAGATAATGTGGGAATATATTCTATACATTACCTTATCTGTGTGCATGCATCATGGTGAGCTACAAAAACTTTTCATATTGAAAAATGGCTTCAAAAAATTATCTTTCTATATAACAAAATTAAATTTGTTTTAGGAATATGTTTGTATTGATCTAAAAAGTTCTTCAATACAGAGTTTGCACAATAATTTGACTATTTTGTTTATAGTCTCTATTTGTCAAATTTTACTCTAAATTGTAAATTTATCAAATTGGACCATAAAATTGGATAAATAATACAATTTTTTAACCTTATAGAGTCAGATGAATTGGAAAATAGATCCAATTGTAATTTTTTTTAATATCTGTGAGCATCTAGACCAGCTTGTGTGTCTCGACTAATCAAGTTGCAATTTTAGTTCCATTCTTTAACATAAACTTCAATTTGGTTTTCATACATTTTAAAAGCGTTCAAATATTGTCTTTATGTTTTATAGTTAAAATCTACTAGATATTTATACGATAATAACATTTATTAGTTTATGTGATTTTTGTTAGAGTGTAACAACAAATAACTTGTCACGTTGCTGTTGAAAAAAAAAGAGTTTAAATTGTCACATTTAATCAAATATCCAAAATGGTAATAAAACTTTGGATAGAAACAAAATTAAAATTAAATAAAAATAAAAATAAATATATTCTCTTTGTAGGTCGCTTTTAAGTGTGAACTTAATTTTTTTTTCTTTTTGAATACATAGTGTGAACATAATTTGAAAGCACAGAATAATGGGTTTCTATGGAACCAAAAAAGAAATTAATTAAATTCTTTTTAGAGGGAAGAAAATGCACAGAAAATTCAGAAAGTAAAGTGAAAAAGGAGAGGGGGAAGAAATTACCACATATTAATTGATATCCCGCACGTGCGAGGTCTTCAGGTTCAGCCGTTAGTATCGCACGTGTAAATAGCAAGAGAAAAACGTGTTCACACTTCTGATCCCGGCCGGTTGCCGGTCATGGAATTCATATTTACTTTTCACCCCGTTGGTTAAGATCCTAATCTTTTTATCTATAAATTATAACTTTTAGGTTTATTTATCATTTTAATTTCAATTGAGTCGGTGTAATTTTAATATTTTAATTTAATCCTTATATTTTGGTTGAATGAATCTGAGAAAATACCTCTACTATTATTGACTGCAAATAATTTTCTTAGATGATGTTGATGTCGAAATCCAGCAGTGTTATTACGTGTCTCGTAGAAGATGACATATGTAACGTATTCGGTTGTACATAATCAGTAAGATTGAACTCAACAGATTAATGCACTTTAGAGTGTAAGTCACTTTCAGTTCTCATGAGACAAAAGGAGAGCTTCAGGATTGGTACGAAATTGCATACCTTGAGAGAGGTCTTGATTCCTCTTTTTATTAAGTTGTAATGTGAAAAATGGTACTCGAGAGATCAGAACCATATTATTGGAAGTAGGATTTTACACCCAACTTCCAAGATTCACTGACACTGTCAGATGAGACGTTTGCTAAATGTCAGTCAACGACTTTCCTGTTGGGCGTGCTCTTTTCCAGACTTTAGAAGACGATCTGAGATATTTTTTTATAGAGATTTGTTAAAATTTTGCACTTCATCTAGAAAAGCTCTTACTAAACCTAACTCTAGATTTAGTGGAGAATTTGTCCACGTATGCTGATTGTTTTTCACCCTATAACACATGACATGTATCGTTAGACGTGGTAGAGTGAAAGAGTGCTTCCCTATAAAATTTATAAAAGGACTAAGATAGTTAATTGTGTTAAGTTAGAGTATGAGAGTTGAACCGGTAAATTTACCGGATAAGTTAAATTAACTAAAATTCAATTACATCTACCATCATAATATAATTAACCAATTCAATCTTCAAAAATATTTTAAATTAAACATCATATCATAATTGCTCAAATCTCGAGAAAATTTGCTACACTTAGAAAAATTGTTCACATTCAGTAATATGAAAGATATGCTAACATAAACATATGTAAAATAACTTTATTTGCGAATTCCTCCCGCTCACATGTGATGCAATACTCTAAAAAAATGAGGTGGTAATATAAATGTTTTAGAAGATTTAACATGAAAATAATTTAACCTCCTAACGATCAAAATCCATATCTCTACCTCCATTCCTATTATCCAAAAAAAAAAAAGGGAAAAAAAATCTCAAAACCATAGAAGATGTTTAAGCCCGAAATCACTGAGCTCGAATGTAACGTGGATCGAAACGTTCAGGATGAACTATGGCCAACGGTCCAACACCTTCCCAGAACACTCTAGAGACCTGCAAGACAAAGTTAGCTAGCACTCCGACGTGCTAGTTAGTTCTAGTCCGAGCTAACTTGCCGAGTCTATCTAGGATTGCGTACCTTGCATTTAAGGCAAGAGTTTCTATTTATAGAAACTGGGCCCGACAGGAATTCTGACACACGCTAAAATCGCTGTGTGTTGTCGGGTACGGAAGAGACATTGTTACGGACTTCGTCTCAGGTCGGCTTGGCACCATAGGTCCTACCCTATCTGCCGACCTGAGTACTTTGGAGTCAATTTCTATGTTTCGTCTGCGTGTTCGTCTAACTCACCTTTTGGATCATGACACGTGACAGGCCGGGATTCGCATCCAACAAAATTAAATTTAATAAAATGAGAATTTATCCCATTTTTTGTAATAATGTTTCAAAGAGCAGTGTTGAGATGGATTAATTGATTTTATTTATAGGTTAAATTTTTTTGACTCCTAAATTTTTAAGTTAGGTCAGTTACAACCTTGAATTTTAATGTTACTAAGGTTTTAATTTTGCATTTAATAGACATCTCAAGTGTCTAGATAAACTCAAGCCTCCGAATTTGAGTTTAATAGATCTCTTTTAACACGGAAGGAAGAATTTAAAAACTTTTGTTGTATTATGATATTTGATTCATTTTGATTCTTGTTTCAAAGTATTCATTATAGTCTTTGTATTACGAAAACTAAACGATTTTAACACAAATTTTATAAATAATTGAGACTCTTTAATACAAAATTATTGCTATATTTCAAAAAATTTAATAAGGGATCAATTGCCATATTAAAGTTATGATAATAAAAAGTGAGATCAAAATAAAAATGAATTGGACAAAAATTGTCCCTTCTAAAATTATGAGGACAAAAATAAATATTTTAAAAGTTAAAAAATTAAAATAAACAAAATATAATATACACCTAAAAATACATAATTCATAATGAAACAAAATCAAAATTAACACGAAGAAAATAGTAGTAATAATAATAATAAAAGCAACCCTTATAAAATAAGAATAAAATAAAATAGTAGAAAAGATATGGACGTGGCCCGTGGGTGGGAAGAGAGAGAGAGAAATAGTGAGAAAATTGGGGGGCATTAAAATTTTCACCGACTATGCCTCGTCCGTACGAACCGGTGACCTACAAATTCCGGTCATTTCATTTCCCCCATTTTCCTCTCTCTCTCTCTTCTACTTTTCTCTCACCTCTGGTTTTTTTCTCACACACAAATCCAACCAATAACTTATAAGCATAAGCAGGAGCAGCAGCAGCAGAGCTCAGCTATGGAGAAGATGAAGGAAGAGCTTATAAAGATGGAGGATACAAGCACCAGCGGCGGCGGCGGCGGCGGTGGAGGTTTCCCATTTTCCGATCACAGTTTGTTGGATTTCTCCGACGCCCAAAAATGCCCTCTGGGTTTCATGGAGCTTCTTGGTCTCGATTATCACGCCGACTACTCGGAAGTCCTGAATCCGCCGGCGACGCCCAACTCCTCCTCCGTCTCCTCCGCCTCCAGTGACGCCGCCGCCGCCGCCGCCGACCAAGATGACCCACCTCACCAAAATCCCTCAAAACAGTAATAATTTGAATTTTTTTCTTTCTCCTTTTTCCTCTTTTCTTTTATTTTGAGAAAAAATAAAAACTCTCCCGTTTTCGTCTTGATCAGATCCATTCGGCAGATGGGTTTTTCTTTTCCTTTCAAAATGATAGATACGTTTGGACTAAATTTACTGTAATCCGTCAACTTAAGCTCTTAGATCAACGATGATTGAACCCGTAACTCAAATTCTCCAATGTCACTTTGATTTTGAGATAATTATTAAATTTTACCATGGTATCAAAGCAATTAATTTGTTATAACTTGTTCTGAGATTAATTTGGTGTTGTTTTGATGATGATAAGATTGAAGGTGAGTAAGAAGAAGAAGGAGAAGAGAGAGAAAGAGGCAAGATTTGCGTTCATGACGAAGAGTGAAGTTGATCATCTTGAAGATGGGTATCGATGGAGAAAGTATGGCCAAAAAGCTGTCAAAAACAGCCCTTTTCCTAGGTTTGTATCATTTTCAACAACTCTCTTTTTGCTTTTCTTTTCCGTTCTTCTACCCTAAATTATTTTAAAATGCTCCAATTTTATGGTTAGGGTTTTTTCTGTTAAAATGGGGATGAAATTGTAACATGTTAATCAGGCCATTTGGTAACGTTGTGTTCCTCGTTTTCAATTTTTGGTAATGTCCCGTTCTTCGTTTCCAATTTTCTAAAGAAATTTTGTTTATAGAAACTTCGGATGACTGTGTTTTTGTTTCTTCTCTTTTGTAAATATTTTTAATAACTTATAGAAACTTCGGATAACAATTCAGATAAATTTCTTCTTTCTTTATTCTATTTTCAATTTATTCCAAAATATAAATAAAGATATTATTTTATCATATTTAAATTTAGGGATATTGTGACCCTGAAATTAATTTTCTTTATTAAAAAGAAAGAATATAAACAAAAAAAATAGAAACATTACCCCTAAGTTTTAGCTTAAAATTTGATTGAAGAAAAATTAAAAAACTTAAAAGTGTTTTACCTTCCTACTTAGTTACCACTATTTTCCCTCTTTTCCATTCCTCATTTAGTTATGAATTTTTTTACCTATTAACAAGCATCTAAGTTTTAAAGATGTTTGTAGAGGGCGACAGACAAAAATTACGACTTTTATTTTAACCAAAAGGGAATTTTTATGACAGTTTTAAAGATTAAGGATTAGAACAACTTTTTGAAACGATTGTACCAACTCTTTAGCTATAAGAGACGTTTTGTATAATTTAATCTTCTTTTTCCAAAGAAGAAGATTGAATCTTGATGGGTTTTTAATGATTCCACTATGTATTTTTTTGGTTGAATTTTCTCTCTCTTCATTCTCTTTAGGAGCTATTATCGTTGCACCAGTGCAGCCTGCAATGTAAAGAAAAGAGTCGAACGATCCTTCGCGGATCCAACCATTGTGGTGACCACCTACGAAGGCCAACACACCCACCCGAGCCCGGTCCTCACGCGCTCCGCCCTCGCTGCTGCCATTCCTCCACACTCCGCCATCGCGTCGGGACAAGGGTGCGCTGGCATTGCTACCATGCCATTGCTCAAAGCTAGCAACAACACTAATGGTATGTTTATTTGAATAACTGTCCTAACTAATAAGAATTTGTTTTTATGTTGACCACCGTTGAAAAATTGACAGCTGGTCCTCCCGACTGTTAAGGATACCACATTGATAAAAGAAGAGACTTAACAATGGTTTATAATAGACATGAGCTACTCCTCTCATTGCCAATTGGTCTTGAGCCCACAAGCTCAAACTAGCATAAGAGGCACCATCTTGAGGGGCATGTTAAGGATCCCACATTGAATATTAATAGGGACCTATATATTTTCCTTAAAAAAAATTGACAAAATCTTATACTTTTTTGATTCCAAACAGAAGATAACATCCCGACAATGTCATATTTTCAAAATCCCGCCTTCTTCACCACCCAACACATGACTGTCGATCACAACCGCAACTTCACCGCTGCAGCTGCAAACCCCGCCGGAATCCTACCGGAGAGACGATTCTGCAACTCAAAAAATACTGCTTTTCTTGCAGACCATGGGCTGCTTCAAGATGTTGTTCCTCCCCACATGCTGCAACAAGAGTAAAAGAAAACAAAATATATATATATATATATATATATAATTATATATAGAGAGATATAAATATATATTAGTTTCAGTTAAAACAGTTGGTGTTTAGTCTGATTTTTAACTCAGATAACTGACTTCTGTTGTTTTGTTCATAGGAGAAGTTAGAAGAAAGAGGGAAAAAAACCATTAATGATTATGTAGTTAATTAAAATTTTATATTGGTGAGAAAAATGGATGATGATCTCATTTTTGTGAGAAAACCCATTGATTTTCATATGCAAAAATTATGATTAGGTAATCGTACCATTATGTTCTTTTTTTCTTGCTGATGAGAGAGAGAGAAGATCGTGTGACAGTAGAGAGAGAAAGTGGGTTTGGCCTATATCTTTGTTTTCTTGCATAGGCAGAATATGCTTCGAAACAAAAATGGATGTCAAATTGCAAGTTCTTTGTATAAGGAAGGTTAGATTGATAGATTTATTCAACTTTGAGGAATTTTCTATGGTATAAGCTAAATTATTGGCCATAAAAGTTTAGAAATTAAATAGTTGCACGTTTTTATTTTTTGTTTTTTGTTTTAAAAATCTATGGTTATTTTTTCACCAATTATTATATGTTTAGAAACATCTTTGACCATTCTTAATTATCCAAATTTTACAAATAAAAATAAGTTTAGTTTTTAAAATTTGACTTGAATTTTTTTTTTATAAAATAAAAGCAGGTAACAAAATATTTAAAAAAAAAACATAGGTAGAGTGTAGTATTTAGTAGTGTAATTTTAATAAAATAATTATCAAACGATGCATAAATAGTTATATACTAAAATTTAGAAATTCGGTCACTATTTTAACCTAAAAGGATAATATGAAAAGGGTTCGGTATTGATAATGAACGTGGCGTTGGGGTGAAATAGAAGAAAGAATATGTGTATTTGTGTGTACAGCTATTGGCTGATAGAGGCTTGTCACTTTTAATGCCTTAGTTTACAAGCATTGCAAGATCATCTTTTTCTTTTCTTTTTTTTTTTTTGTGTTTTTTTAGGGTTTGGTTCATTGAATGATGGAGACATGAGAATATGCAAACATAATGGATGGAGAGAGAGGGAGAGGGTTTGATCAAACTTAAAGAGTTTGGATTTTGGAAGTAGCCGGAGGGAAAAGAAAAAAAGTGCGATTGGAAATTTAACAGCTCTATTATTGTTTGTGAAAAATATATGCATACGTACATATATGTATCTTTTTGCTACATTTTTCTCTTCTTCGTGTTAAGATTTTAACGGTGGTTAACCAAAAATGAGTGTTGACCAGTCAACACCCGAGTACGTCGGTTGTTTTGGAGCGTAGGATAGGTTTTGGTTTGGGGTGAGATTGCGCCATGTTTGGAAATTGGGATTTGGGATTTGGGGCATTGCCATGCAAATACAAATGCAAGAAAGGGGGGAATATTTCAAAACTCACCAAAGATATTTTTCATTTATTAATGAGCCTACATTTTCTTTTTACTACTAATTTTTTAGATCATAAGGTAACTCTAGCATTTACAATATATTCACAATTCACAAACACTTGTAAAGTCCTTCCTTCTATTCTAAATATACATGTACACGTTACTAAATAATAGATATAGAGTTTAAACCATATATCAATATTTTTCCGATTTTTGAAACTTTTAAAACGTTCATTTTAGTTTTTAAACTTTTGTATCTATTCCGTTTTAGTACGTAAACTTTAAAATATTTGTTTTAGTTCCTAAGCTTTAAAATATGATCATTTTGACTCAGTGTAGCATATTGGGAATATATAACAGGGTCCTATAAATGAGATATTAGGTAAACGAATATTAGGTGAGAAAACAATAGCAAAAATCAAAATTAGAACTTTTTGAAATTTCATGGATTAAAATAGACATTTTGAATATTCAACCGCCAAAATGATTATTTTTTAAAACTTGAATAACTATATTAGACATTTTGAAACTTGAATGTTGTTGAATATTTATTTTAATTTTACATCTCCACTTGACACCATCTACCCACACCGCTACCTTCGTCGGACTGTCGCTACCGTTCGTCGGACCGCCGCTGCCAAGTAAGGTAAAATCAATCTCATGTGATTTTGACCTTAAGTAATAACTAATAAGAATAATTATATTACTAATTTACTACTAATCTTCAATTTCATATATTTATCATAATAAATTTATTTTTATTTATAGGTACCAGGAGCGATTCAACCACAAGTAGAAAGAATACGGATGTTGAGCGATCTGATATGCCTCCCCCACCGACACCGGCACCGGCACTGGCACCAACACCGTCCCAAACTCCTACTACTGACGATAATACAGTTTCAGCGACAAGGAAGAGGAAACATGCGTCTATGGTATGAGATCATTTTACTAAGTGTTCTGATTCTGAATATAGTGATGATGATCCACATGCTAGATGTAATTATTTTGGTATGGTATATGCATGTCACACTAGGAGAAATGGGACAGGGACAATGAAAGTGCATCTTGACTACTATTGCAAAAAAAAAATCTTTATCAAAGTAAGAAAAATAGGGCAGATGCAACTCAAACCAAGTTGGTATTTAAGAATAAAGATACTTCAAGTTCAGGGGAGCATTCCAATTCAACGCTTAATTGTGAGATTTTCTCTATTGAGAGTGCTCGAAGACTAATTGCTGAGATGATTATAATTGATGAATTGTCTTTTAAATTTGTGGAGAGTGAAAGATTTAGGAGGTTTGTGCGAGGGACTTTGTGCTTGGTAGAACCAAAATTTGTTCTTCCTTCTCGAATTACCATTGCTAGAGATATTTTAGGTATATATGCTAGTACGAAACAAAGTTTGAAGGACACTTTTGTGGAACAAGGGTATAGGGTCTCACTTAGGACCGATACTTGGACATCAATTCAGAATATTAATTATATGGTTCTGACTGCACACTTCATTGATAATAATTGGAATTTGCATAAAAGAATTATTAATTTTTCTCAGGTCGAGAATCATAAATGAGAGACTATAGGAAGGGAAGTTGAGAAATGTTTGAAGCAGTGGGGGATTGAAAAGGTTTTGACATTGACAGTTGATAACGCTTCATCAAATGATACCGCCATTGCCTATCTAGTTAAGCGTTTTAATCATGGGTTGGTGTTGAAGGGTGACTTCTTACATGTGAGGTGTTGTGCACATATCTTGAATTTGATTGTATGTGATGGAATAAAAGATGTGCATGAGTCGGTTGCTAGAATTCGAAATGCTGTTAGGTTTGTTAGATCTTCTCCTGCTCGACTTAGTAAATTTAAGAAGTGTATTGAAGAGGAGAACATAATATTCCAACTCGATGGAACTCTACATATTTGATGCTTGATGCAGCTGAAAAGTTTGAAAAGGCATTTGAGAGGTTAGAAGACTATGACACGACATACATGAGTGAGGATAAACCGGTTAAAAAAGATTGGGAAGTTGCTCGGATATTTATCAAATTCTTATCTGTATTTTATGAAGTGACGTGTAGGCTTTCAGGGTCTCTTTATGTTACTTCCAATATTGTCTTCCATGAAATTAGTGTTATTCAAAATTGCATAAGATAGTATTCACGTGAGAGTGAAAATGACAATGCACTTCTTCGTGAAATGGCGGCGAAAATGCAAAGCAAATATGATAAGTATTGGGGGAGTAGTGAAAAATCGAATAACTTATTGTATGTTGCTTTTGTTTTAGACCCTCGTTATAAGATGAAATCTTTGGTTTACTGTTTGAATCAATTATTAGGGGGTGATGTGGCAAGTGTCATAGTGAGGAAGGTGGAAGATGTTTTGAGAGGATTATTTAATGAATATAGCTTGTCTGCTACAAGGAGTAGTTCATCTTCTTTGTTTGCTTCAAGGAGTAGTTCGTCATGTTTGTCCGCTTCAGATGCTTTTCGTTGTATTGATGACATGGATGATGATACTCAAAGTGTGGATACAGAGGTGGATATTTATATATTGGAGCCTCGTGTAAAGCGTGAGAAGAATTTTGATATCTTAGATTGGTGGAAGGACAATTCTTCTAGATACAAGGTTCTTAGTAAAATTGCACGAGATATTTTAGCTATTCCAGTATCCACAGTTGCTTCTGAGTCTGCATTCAGTACTAGTGGGAGAATAATCGATCCTTTCCAATCTACATTGGCTCCAACCATCAATGGATTCTCGAACCCTGCACAATGTTTAGGAGGCAACTCAAGTCAAGATGATTGGACAGAGTTCTTGTTTGAAGGTAATATGATGATGATGATGGCATTACCGTTCGATGCGGAATTGGCAATGAGGTTGTATTTGATGGCGTAGACATCGACGTACACGATGGTGGCATTCGTCAAAGCGGATCTTAGTTCTCCACATGCAGCTTTCAACTGAGYGTTGAATTCTTTTGCAGCATTGTTGAGGGCTTGTAGGCAGCCATGATTGTCAATGTCACTAGCATTTGCAGCTGTTGTAGCAAGCTTTTGAGGCATACATCCCAATGGCCCTGTGTTGTGTACCCAAAAGTTTCTTCCTCCATGTTGATATATAMTCTACATTTGGATTGGAAAGCAATTATGGGGAAGTTGCAGAAGCAAAAACACAAGAATCAATTGTTTGTATAGGTTGAGAATATCCGGATCAAAAGATGCATTTATTTAGTGTGTGTTTGACATGCCTTTTGAAAGACGTCTTTTTAAGTGAAACATTCACGCAAGAAAACGAGTTAAATACTCTTCCTGAAAACACTTTAAGCACTTTTTTCTCTGTTTTTAGAATTTTTCACATGACGGTTGATCATCGAAAAYTTCTAAAAATACTTTTTTAAGTTTTAATYAGTCCTATGTACTTTTTACTCCAAAATTTAAACCAGAGACCAACTATAAGCACATTAAAARG